CTTGGAAGGAAGGTCTGGCTTGTGAGGGTCGGCTGGGCGCGGGCCAGCAGCCCGCAGCTGAATGATGCCGGAGGCTCTCGAAACAGGCTTGGCTGGATGGTCCAGCGATTCTTGCGCGATACTCATGCGTTTCGGTTCGGTGTGATGTCGATACTTCGCATTGGCGATACCTTACGGTTCGATACCGATAAGGTTTCGATATCGATAAAAGTATTGTTGAAACATCCATGGTGATCCCAACACGCGCTGCGACACCATGCTGGGCTGTTGTTTTGAGATGGGGTTGTCCTGCAGGCCTTTGCCAGACACACCGCTTGACTTGCGATATGGGCGAACAACGAGCAGTGCGTGTTCATGAGTACGTTCCGCAATTCCGAATGTCCGAGACCCAAAGTGGTGGTAGCAAGGTCAGCCGCGGAACCCCACTTGGCATCGCAAAAGCATTTACCTGGAATCAGACTTCACCCGATGATGAGAACACGGTCCTCCGTTCACAATGGACCAACAGGGTGGGAGGTGTCCTTGCATTCAGTCGTTGCATGCTGAGGGGATGCTGCATTCTGCGGCGACGACACAGCCCAAAACGAATGCCGTGGCCAGCCGGCCACCGGCCGCCGAAGAACTCGCAGGCTACCAAGGGCAGCTATGAAAAAGGGGATGCTACGAGGGCCGAGGGTGCTGAGCACGAGGGTTGGCAGGCGGTTTTTTGGTTTTTGTTTTAGCGATTGTTCCATGCAGCCATTCTGGATATGCCTGTGAGCCTTCGCGCTGAAGCTTTTCAGCCGTACGGATGTTGACGAGCCTTACAACTCTGATGTTGATGTTGCCTTATAGCTGTGACAGCTCAAAGCCTCGAGGGCTCGCAGCAAGCGGCTTTCGAAGGCCTGCTGGGCCCGGCCCACAGCGCAGAGACCGCGACGTCTCGTCTACCGGCGCGGGCCGGCTCGCCGCTGAAGGGGGCAAGGAAAACCGCCCCATTCAAAGCCGAGACACTCCCACACTGGGAGTCGTTAGCGTGAAGGGGATTCATGTGCTGTAGCATCTTTCGACGAGATGCTTCGAAACTCGAACGTGCCCATGCCGTCTTCTCTACAATTCTTTACACCTATATCAAGTAAATTAAAGGTTGTAATGGAAGCTTTCGTGCATCTGCTCGTTGAGTTGAGTAGCTTGAGTATCTGACAGAGTGTTCCGCCAAGGTCTTGCCCAGCCAGCGAGTGTGCAGAGCACGATTGCGAAGACAGTACCGCGGAAGGCACCGACGATGGGCGTGACCACGATGACTTCGTAAAGCCTATGTCGCTGTTGCTTGGCTGCGTGAAGGCGGAGAGCAAAGTCTTTGCATGAGATTTCTCTTAGGTTTCCGACGCCAGAGAACTCACCACGGTCCTTGGCAGAAAGGTCCTCGTGGAACTGGCCTTCAGCACAAGCAGGACGCAACAAAGATGCTTTTCAGGGGAGCTCTGAGCTCGCTTTTTTATCAGACGCTTCTTTCAGGAGAGCGCACTCGCTTGAGCAGCCAAGCGGCTCCTTTCCAACCGCAGCCCCCACGAGCCCACAGCACTACATGGTATGCGGCACCTCAGCTAAAGCAGCTAAAGCGATGTATCCACGTCTTCTTCACACCGACTCTGGTCTGAACCTCGCTGAGGTTCCGCCCACGCGCTACGTGACTCCGGGCACCCGACCAGTGCCATCCGTGCCGTCCGTGCCGTCCGTGCCGTCCGTGTCGACAGCGCAGCAGGGCTCCTTCCCAGCTTCTTGTCCAGAATCGACCCTGTGAGGAGAGCAGGCCTTTCGCTCAGCTTTCAATCTGAGGCGTGGAGCTGGGATGAGGCGACTCCCTCGGATCCCAAAGTGCCGCCTGTGATCCTTGGATCCGAGATGCTTCCGAGCCTTGGGTCGGGTGGCCACGCCACCGGCGAGTGCAAGCCCTGCGCCTTCTTCTACAAGAAAGCGGGCTGCGCCAGCGGCCGGACCTGCCTCTTCTGCCCGGACGCTCAGAGAGCCTTTAGAGCGCGCCTCCCTGGGCCGGGCGCCGGCAGCAGAGCCAACTGAGCCAACTCCCGTGCTGTGCTGCTGCCTGCTGCCTTCGTTTTGTTTCGCTTTGTTTCTCCTTCTTCTCTTCTTCTTCTTGTTTCGGTGCCTGCCTGTTGTGTTGCCTTCCCTCGCGAGGCCACTTGTGCGAGAACGGGGAGAAGAAGCGCCGGCAGCGCGAGTCGAAGCCGCTGGGCCCAAGCATTGCGGAACAGGCAGTGACTTCTTACAGAACGGGAGAACCGCGCTCATCCTCTTGCGTCGCTCCGCTGCGCTCTCTCTCTCCGCTCTCTCTCCAAGGAAGGACGCCGTGACGGCGAAGCCCGGGCTTGGGTTTGGGCCCCCCACTAAAGCCCAGACCCCGGTTTTGACCTGTGCCAGATGAAGCGCTCTCTTTCGATTTGCGAAGATCTTTTGAGATTTTTGAGTTTTGTTCCAGTGGCATCCGGCCGACCGCCCCTTGCCCCTTCGCTCCGCTTCGCTTCCTTCTGCGCTGTGCATCAGAGTGATCGAGCAGTGCAGGGAGGGGGGAGCGAGGGGGAAGGGAAGAGGATGAGTTCGAAAAGGACATGCCTGCTTTCAGAGAAGGAAGCACCTGCTCGTATTATCGGCCGGATTCTGATTCAGTTTTAATCTGATGTTTGGATGCATTCGAAGCAGCTCGGAATCAGGGATGAGAAACTCAGAAGCTCAGACTTCCCCACCTTGAGCTGAAAGGAACGTTTATGTCGCAGCTTGAAGGTATTTGTTGCTTCCAGCACACCTCCGTTTTGCTGCTGTCTGCACGGCTGGGCCCATCTTTAGGACGTGGCCCAGGCGTGAGCACCGAGCGTGCTACCGGGCCCGGCCACTTGTGCCCTGCACCAGCACGTCACCTGATGTTGTAATTGTATATATAATTATACCGCTATATACTGTTCTACTGTCTTTCGTCCCTGGCGAAGTGGCTCGACTCGGCTCTTTCCCGTTACAAAGCATGTGCAGAAAAGCTTCGGAGAAAAGGCAGGCACTGGCCTTCTCTGCACCCTTTTGCAGGCCCATATGAGAGACAAGGGCTCTCTCTCTCTCTCTCTCTCTCTCTCTCTCTCTCTCTCTCTTGCCGCCGCAGCAGGGAGGGGCAGGCAACATAGGAGGCGCGCGCGCGCAGATGGCGGACTCCTTGGAGGAGGCCCTGGGCGCCCTGGGCCTCCTCCGCTTCTTGCCGAAGCTCCAGGACCTGGGGCTCCGATGCCTCAGCCAGGCGCGCGCGGGCCAGCCGCAAACTCAACGCAACCCCTTTCTGCTCTCTCTTCTCTTTCTTCTCTTCTCTTTCTCAGGTGGGCGAGCTCTGGACCTCGGACCTGGCGGAAGCGGGCCTCACTCGCCTGCAGACCCGGCAGCTCCAGAACTGGGCGGCGAGGGCGGCGGCATCCGCCGCGGGATCCGCGGACTCCGCGGGAGGAGGACGCCCTGAGGAGGCCTTGCCGGAGGGTGTCGAGGCGGAGGCGGTGGCTTCGGGCCAAGAGGAAGAAGCGGCCATCGTCTGGTCGGCGCCAGCCATGGCCTCCGCAAACGCGGCTCCTTTCGAGAGCTTCTTCCGCTTGGACTTGGACTCCGACTCGCCCTCGGCGAAGCTGCCGGAAGCCTTGAGGAGACGCTTGGAGACGCGCCGCGAGACGCGCCGCAGCACGCTCTCAAAAAGGATCAAGGAGGAGCCGAGCAGGGAGGAGCCGGCAAAGGCAGAGCCAAAAAAGCCTGAGCCGTCCAAGCGGACTTTCTCGTCCCGCCTCGGCCGGACTCGGCCAGGCGAGGAGGCGCCAGGCACTGGAGCCGCAATGAACACCCCGCGCGGCGCTCGCGGCGGGGGCGGCCTGAGGTGCCCGAAGCAGAGCCGGAGCTGTCAAGCAGATTCCGAGCCTTCAGAGCGGCAGATGTTCGACAAAGTGACGTTGCGCTTGAGACACCGTCAGCTTTTCATAGCAAGCATTGAGAAGCACAGGACGGCAGAGACGAGCCTCTGGCAGCACTTGTTGAATTGCAGGTAGTCACAGGTAGTCTAGGATGCGGCCGTGGTCGTCTTGAGGAAGCAGTTCCTCCCGCCGCGGACACCTCGGCGACCTCGTGCCGCAGAGCGCATCCAGGTGCGCTCTTCCGCCGATGCTTTAAAGTTTTAAGGCATCCCATTCGGACCTGAGGTCTTTGTCCGTGTTCGGCCATTCTTTGACGAAGACCTCGAGCAGCCAGGGCAGCACGGGAACGGATTCGTGCTTTGCTTTGGCGTGCATTGGCAAGAAAACTCGAATCCGAGGCAGGATGATTTCGCCGCTCGCTGTGAAAGAAACAGCTGTCTGTTCTGTGAAGCCGATAGCAGCTAGCTAGCACCAGCAGAGACGTTCATGTGGCGTACGCAAACGCCTGCCAAGGACGTGGTCTCTGTCTCCCATGAACATGTGATCCTGCACAGTTGCATGTTCGAAGCGGACTTGAAGACGCTTTTGCTGCAGTTGTGGGAGTTTCGTGCGCAGGAGCTGCTTTCTATTTGTTTCAGCTTTGAGCTCAGCGTTGAGGACTCCGTGTGTAGTGCGTCACATCTTCGGCTTCGACCGCGTCTTCGGAGCCTTCGCCCGCAGCAAAAGCCAAGCGGGGGCCATGGCCGGCGGCCGGCGCGCCGAAAATGCCCCAAGGTCCCGCGGCCAGCAACCTCTGCGTCTACAAGCAGGTGCCGCCGAGGCTGCGAGGCTGCGGGAGGCGCCTGGAGTGGACGGGCTTTCGCCAGGCCGCTGCTCCGATCATCGAGACGTCGTGTTCGGGCGGCGTGGGGCTGCTCTTCATGTTCGGGCAGACCGGCAGCGGCAAGACCCACACCATGCGCCCCGCCCAAAAAAAAAACAGAGAGAGCCGAAAGAGAGGGGAGAGACTGTGGATAGAGAGGCATGCGGTCCACGAGCTCGCGGCGTTGGAGATTTTCGGCAGCGATCCGGCTGCCGTGGGTGTGCAGTTCCTCGAGCTTCGCGGGGACAAAGCCTTCGACCTCCTGGCGAATCCGGAAGGACCGCGAGCGGGGCAATCCGCTTGAAGGGCACACCGAGGGGGGGCCCAGCCCAGAGCTTCTCTTCTCGCTTTGCTTTCGCGGCTTTTGTTAGAGAGGAAAGAGCAAGACCTTCCCCGAGCTGCGCCTGCGGGAGCACGCCGGCGCCTATCACGCCGAAGGCCAGGGGCTTTCTGCCCTCTGTGCCCTGCAAGGCCCGTGTTGTTGTGGAGTGCTTTGCTTTCGAGGAGCCATGGAGCTCTCTCCGCGCTCTCCAGAGGACATGCAGGTGGTGCTGGAGCCTTGCCCGCAGCATCTCGCAGCAGTCCTAGTCTGCTTGCTTCGGATTTTGCGGGCCGACGATCGGCTTGAGGAGACGGCGCACGCTCGACGGAGGACCGCAAGCACGGGAGTGCCGCGCTGAAAAAGGAAGAGTCTAGAGATCTGAAGAACTAATGGCAGAGTGCCACTGGCGCCTGGCTTTTCCGAGGCCAATGCGGTGTCCTCCCGGAGCCACGCGGTCTGCTTGCTGCGGATCCAGAGAAAGGGGCCTGAGGAAAGCCGGGAGCCAACCGGGCCCAAGGGGCTGCTTGGGCCCAGAGCCGGTCTGCTGGTGCTGGTGGACTGCGCCGGCAGCGAGCGGAAGAAGGACAGCGCTTGCAAGGAAAGGAATCCTTTCCTGCTGAGCCTTGGGAGGATTCCAGGGGCCACTCCAAGGAGCAGCAGCAGGAGAGCGCGGAGATCAACGCCTCGCTCGGGGGCCCAGTGCCAAGAGCTGCAGAGAACGGGCACAGCTGGCGTGCCCTCGGAGCTCCGAGGCTCTATGCTTTGAAGGACTGCTGCCGTGCCCTGGCATCCTTGCCAAGGGTCCCGCTGCTCGGCCGAGAGCTGCGCTGCGAGAGAGCTCCGCAAGAACGAAGAGTCTGAGGCCTCACGCCGTTCGGGCCTCCTCCCTGACGAAAGTCTTGGCGCAGGCCTTCCTGGCGCAAGAAAGCAGGCAAGACTCCCAGAGAGAGAGAGAGAGAGAGAGAGAGAGAGAGAGAGAGAGAGGGAGGCCCCACAGTAGTTTTGCCCAGAGAGTATAACTCCTCTTGGGGCCGAGGCTGGCGGTGATTTGCACGGTGTCGCCTTGCGCGTCCGACACGGAACACACGGCACGGTTGCCCAAGCGCTCATGTTTGTTTTGAGCCTCCTTTGCACGTGTCTGAGGTGACGACGCTTCGATTGGGCACAGCGCTGGCGGGATGCTGTGAGCAGGAAGAGAAGGCGCGCAGACCTTCGACAGATCACTCACATCACACTTTACACATCACTTGCAACTTCTTTTCTCGCGTCCTGCGCCTGATCAGGATTTCCTGGAGCAAGTGCCCTCGGAACGGCGCGGGCCGTCGAAGACTCCAAAGCAGTGGACGCCGGAGAGCCGCCCCTCACGAATCATTTTCTATCCTCAATGGGCGAGAGGGAGGGAGAGAGCGAGAGAGAGCGAGAGAGAGTGCCTGCAGGTCCTGGTAGCTAGGGCAGCTAGGGGTGTAGGGGTTTACTGACATTTACACTCTCCCGGCCTTGAAGACAGACCGTCGCGAACCTCAGGGGGTTCGCCCTCCGGCCAGGTTGCGTGCCTGCACCCATACCCCACGCAAGCAAGCAAGCAAGCAAGCAAGGGAAGGGTTTAGGTGGGCTCAGCGGGAAACCTGGTGGATGCCACAGACCACATCCGCTGAACAAAACTTCCGACTGAAGTCCAAACTGCACTCGGCAAACAATGCCCATCGCAGTCAAGTCCTTTGCTTCAAGCCGCAGACAGAGACAGCTGGAAGAACAGCACGGAGCGGTTGTAAGAACATGATCAAGCAACGTCTCCTTTGGTTGAGTACCAATCGCAGGTAATAGTTGTTGATACGCTGTTAAGAAGCACGTATGTGTAGTCTTTTGAAGTTAGCACCCAACCGTATGTCACAACGAGTGTTTAGAGCAACTAAGTTCGATTTCAGTAGTCTTCCTTACATTGCATGGACGGCTGACCAAACACCCAAGTACTTCATGTTCCTGTTCCTGTTCCTGTGCGGACTCCAGTACCCTACGCGGGTGCGTCCCAAAAATCATGCAGTGAATTCGTGCCTCGGGGTTTTAAGGCCTCCCCTGAAAGGCCAAAACAAAACCGGCCATCCTTCTTAAAGGTGTTCCGGGTTTGATGTTTGTCCAGCCATGCAGGAAAAGCTCCGCAAAGCGCCTGCAAGAAAAAGCTGGGTTAGCCTTTGTATGATCCTGTAAACGCGCGGCATTTGCAAACGTGCCTTCTCGCGAGACAAAAAGCCAGACGACACCCTAAGAAGCTAATCCACAGCAGCTGTAACAAACTCTGAGTCGTTCCTCCGGGGGTCAAGGAGGCAATCAACAGAGCAAGACTACCCCTAAAAGGCAGGATCTTCCTCAAGGATTCAATTGAGGCCATCCCTGCGCAACTTTGACCGTAGTCGCCACAACACCTATGTAAAGGTGATATATACAATATCGGCCAGCCCTCACTGCACCTGTACTTCATGTTGCCAAATGTTCGGCTTATGGTGTAGTGGGTGGAGTCGTTGATGAATACTTTGCACGCATTCACGAGTTTATTGCAATCGCATATCTTTCAAAGGAACCCGAGTGTGATTTGTTACCGACTTGTGTACACGTACGACTTGGGTTCTTGCTAGCCACATGTCAGCTTTGTTTCACTTGCAGCTTGACTGCTCAAGACTCAGCTCTGCTAGAGTCCAGGAAAAGATCCGCTGGCGCTTAGGGTAGTGCGCGTGTTGTCTTGTACGTGAGCGGTTAACTTAACGGAAACAAAATCTGCTCGATCTCTGCCCTGGAGTGCTTTGCTCTGCCTTTGCTGGCCTGGTGTGAGATCGGAAGCACCTCTGCTTTGTGATCGAGAGTTAAGTGGATTCCTCCGCTTTTCGTAGGTTATCAGCCGTAGGACCTCTTACTTCCGATTTTGCACTCTTGCTTGCTTGCTGCCGCCTTTGGCACTCGGATCATCTTCCCGATAAGTGACCGAAACACAGCCGTGTTTCCGGCGCGCATTGCCCCGTTCGGATTTGTGCGAAGTTGCGCCACTGAGGAACGATGACTCCGATTGGGTCTCCGCGTGTTCCCTCGACTGTCGGTTCTTCACTGGTGATGCCAGTCGCGCGGGATGCTGCGGAGTCCGATGATAGTGCTCCTGCGGCCCGCCTCGCCACGCCTGCCGGCTTTGCTGCTGCCACGCCGCCGCATGCCATGCCTGCCGAGGTCGATCAGAGTGCCTTGCGGCCGCAGGTGCCGCCTATGCCTTGTGCTGCCGTGATGTCTGGCAACGCGCACCATCTGCAGCCGCATGCCCTTGCTGCCGATCGTGCTTTGCCTGCATTGCCGTGCTTTTCTGCGAGTGCTGCTGCTTCTGCACCTGCCTCGCGATTCATGCCTTCTCCGACCGAAGTTTATCAGTCTTGCCCTCTTTCCCTTAGAGGGCGCCCGTGCTCTTTTTGAGCATGGGCATGGTGACTGGAGCCATCCGATTGTGGCTCCGGCACCTGCAGAAGGGCATTTGCCCTAGGCCCACAGGCCTGCACTCATGCTGCGGCCGTGGCCATGGCGTCCCGATTGTGACACCCGGCCTGGCCAACCCCACCCAGGCTGCCGATATGAGCCGTGGGTTGGCGAGCGACGATCCTTTGGTGCGGGACGCGATCGGTGCTGAGGCTGCCCAGGGATATGGCATCTCCTGGACAAGGTCTTGGATATGTCGCAGGACACAGGGACTCCCGCGACAAGCTGTATCGAAAACACCGGCCAGCTCCAGCCCCCACTCCGAGTGCCGTTTTTGGTGGCGCAGGCCTATTACCGACAGTGGTTACAAGGGGCCTTGATGGATGCTGTCTTACAAGCCAACTATGGAGAACACTGGCTAGAGATCTTTCGACGGTGGAAGATGGAGGGCTTTCAGAATGTCGTGGCTGACCTCAACAACTACGTTGGAATGCCCTGGGGCTAAGGTACACGTCGGCTGGCTCGTCGGGATCTACTACTACAGCCTCAGTCGGTGCAACAGAAGCTCATCAAGGGTCGGATGGTCGAACGGAAGGGTGAACTGTGTGGAGACGCTGATCTGAGAGCTTTACCATGACCGCAGTAGCACGCTTGCACCAAAGAGCGCCCCTTGAGGCGGAGTCGTTCTGATGTATGTTTGGTTTCCATTATTTGTTTTCTTTCTTAGCTGGTCTGCTTCCTGTTAGTCCTCTTCGACGACTCTTGCCCGATACAGTAGTACCAGACACCCGGGACAACTTGACCTGCTCCTGCCTGCCTGCTGTTTCTTTTGGGTTTTAGCTTTTTTGAAGCTTGGGCTCTTGTTCCTGTGTCATAGTCGCAGGCATGAGAAGTTGTGATGATCTAGTTTCACGCCGACTCGCACCTATGAAGCTCGCCTGGCATGTCCGAGTTGTGAGCCTAAACCCTAAACCCCCAACCCTAGATTCAGATAGGAAAAAGTACAGATTTTATTGACTCTCTCTTGTTTGTTTCTATTGATTTCACTATTGATTTCACGTGAACCCTTTTCATGTTGCCATCTTGCTCAAACACAGCTTTCCAGAATGGGGAAGGGTGGAGCCCGCCATTGTGCGAAAGGGATCAGCCATGAAACGCATCGGTTCGGATTCGGGAAATGTTGTGTTTTTGCTATTAATCCCCTACTAATCCTGGAAATTCAGTGCTCGCATGGCAAGCGTCTGAAAGCGTCCGAAATCCGTCGCCAGTAGGGGATCCCTGAAGGGTTTAGGGTTTAGGGCTTTGGTTTTAGGGTTTAGGGTTTAGGGTTTAGGGTTTAGGGTTTAGGGTTTAGGTTGAGGGTGCGGGGCTCAGGGGTTTAGGGCTTAGGGGTTTAGGGCTGAAGGGTTCAAGCCATGAAAGGTTTTGGGGCCTTTTGGGTCCGCATCGTACTGTGGAGGTGTCAGATGACAACCCTTTGCTTCGCGTAAGTGGGAGGATGCTTGTCGCAGACTTCATGAATCCGGACAAGCCCCTACGCATGAAAAGCACGATCAACGATCCGGAAATGGGTGGACAAACGATTAGGAACCTTATCCGGATGGTGCACGATAGAAGCACCTGTCATGCGTCGAAATGCGACTGCGATGTTGATCAAGCTGGGCGCTGATCCAAACGATCCGATCAACATGGAAGGTGCCGGTGTTGAGCCGCTGCAGGACACACGATCCATGTCGTCAAAGGGTCAGCAGAGGCCAGCCTTCCCTGATTCTTCACGTGCCCATACTGAGAACATCAATCCGATGTATGGACACCCGCGCACCGCGTCCCATCCACCGGAGGAGACGCAGAAGACTACTTGGACTCCCGGGCTCACGCGGCCGAAGCCCATGAGTAAAGCACCAGGTGCCGATGGAAGGGCTCGATCATCAGAACCTGAGCCTTTTTTTTTTGCGGGCCCGCGATGGAGTCCACCGATGCAGGGACGGAAGACCGTGAAGGCATACGATCTGCACCTTCGCGCCCCGGGTCTGCCGGCCCAGGCAAGGGCACGCGGCGGGAACCTAACCGTCCCCATCTTATCGATGACAGGGAATGCCATTCGGGCAATCCTTTCAGAGGTAAGGGCAAGCCCAAAGGCAAGCATATGGGCGAAAAGGCTTTTCCGAAAAGGGTGGAAAAGGCAAAGGGAAGGATCCTGATCGACGGGCCGGCGATCAAGACCAAGATGACAAAGGACGAGGCAAGGGAGGCAAGGATAAGTCTCGTACTCGTAGTCCCCCAGTAGGCGGTCGGCGATAAACGACTTCTTGTAGCTATGACCGAAAGACTTCAGATGGCGATGTATGACGTCGCCTTGAGTGGATCCGGTTGATCCTGTTGTGAGCATTGTTGACCGACCAGAGGTTAATGTTCACATCGGATCTGATGGTGAAGCAGAGACCTGATATCATGTTCGCGTTCATTTCTCAGCATGCCTTTGTCCGTGCCGAAGCTGAGAAGACTCACAGGGGTGCAATGGCAAGCCATGGTGTTTTCCTCGTGTGTCTTCCTCGTTTCACTGACATGCGACGCTGCCGCTGAGCGCGTCGATCAAAGTGCCAATTCAACGGGTCGTTATGATGTGATTGCGATAAAAATTGCATCATTTTCGATCTGATCCCCGAACTATGCTGCAGTGTACAGTGTGAAGCATTGGCATGTTCCAAGAGTCGACCCACATCGGATGGCTTTAAAGCTTCTAGCGTGCTTGTCCTGAAGAGGTGTGGCTCGATGTGCGACCAGAGTCGCGTAACACTTTTATACTCCGCTCTTCTCACGCGTGAGCTCGCGTCGAGGGGGTTGTGATTTGTTATCCACTTGTGTGCACGTACAACTTGGGGTCTTGCTAGGCACATGTCAACTTTGTTTCACTTGCAGCTTGACTGCTCAAGACCCAGCTCTGCTAGAGTCCAGGAAAAGATCCGCTGGCGCTTAGGGTAATGCCAGTGTTGTTTTGT